GTCTACACAAAAACTACTAAGGTTTCTACTTCTGTGCACATTTTTCTTCCTCAACTAATTTTATCTTATATAAGCATTCCAACGTGGAGAGACGTAAGCTGGAATCCCCTTAGTTTATCCAGCATATTGTACGTGATAAGGAGTAGGGTCGCCTGTCCAAACTCGGGGGTTTTCTGCGGGTCCCCCGGTTTGACCCCACTGCTAAAGACCACTACGCGCAAGCGAATTATTGAAATAAAATTGAAACACATGTTAGTCCCGAAATGACCTGGTTTGTTTCTTTATTCATTCTGAGTGAAGCCAGTAGTAACATTAACCAGAAGGATTATTGTTATTACTTAGTTTCTTCGATCATTATACCACCCTTTCATATCTTTGTCTTTAATTTCAAAATGTTCGTCTTGTAAACAGATTATTCAAGTGATTTATCTTTTTAAAGATACATTATGGGAGATAAGATAAAGAGATGGCAGTTCTCGCTATAATAGTTAAAAACTAGATAGTGTAAAGGTAATTTGCTGAAAATTTCAGTCAAATTGATCCACGATGAGCCGAGAAAGAAGCGGGTGAAAATGTTTGCATAGTCTCGGTCATCATTACTAAAATCATTAATATAAACAGCACAGTCTCGATTGTCCACTTTTTCTGATTTAATTATTAACGGCCATTAGCGGCATATAGGAATCTAATCCAGCCAACATCGAAGGGTAGCCTTGACATCGAGATTTTATTATGGTCTGGATAAGTTAATTAATGTCTAATTGATATTTTAGATAACATGTCAGGCCTAAAGAAAGACTTGTAATAAGCAGATTTTGCTCTTGCATAATGCATGTTTAATATTCAAAAAGCGTCAAGTTTTTTTCTCACGTCTCCAAGTCCTTGAAAACTATACTCATGAAATATTAAAGCTATTAGCCATGATCAATTGTTTTAAACTTGTAGATCAGTAAATTATTATTAGTCAAATCATCTAATCCTAAAGACATCTTAAGGGGCGGTGGGTTGTTGTATTGTTGTTCATAGTGTTATCATTACATATCTCATTTAGAGATAGAAATATTTTGATATTAAATACATATAAAACAAACAATAAATACATATTTGTTGAAAACTATAGTCTTTCACTCTCCGCCGTTGTCTTGTTCGTAGAGTAAATCTATTAAGCATAACCCAAGGGCCACCGGTTCAGCAAAATGTATAAGTCTAGCATCTCTTCAGTAAATAATTTTATTTTTTACTTTAGTAAAATCTATTAAATTTCTTACGGTGTACCAATGTTAATCGATGACTTTGGCTTTTTTGGAGAAATTTTGTTAAAAGTGTGAATTATTTCTTCAAACTACGTGTTTTATGTATTTCTATGGAATATTCAGTATTAAACAGGAAATGTCCGTTAAATTTAGGAATAAAATGTTTTATTCCCTCAATTCCATAATGGACTTAATTCTGTTATTTTACGGAATGACCAGGGATTTCCGTGAAATTTAGGGATCAAAGGTTTATTCCATTCTATAATGGACTTAATTATGTTATTTTACGGGATAAACGGTGGAATGACCAGGAATCTACGGATTATTTCTGTTTGCAAATACAACGATAAGTAATCGCATGAATATATAATCATTTCTAATAATTATCATGTTATAGTAATCATTTCAATTTGTTAACCATAATATGAAGAATCATATTTTATAAATTTTTATATATTACATGTCATGTTTATCAATTTCCGTTATTTATAAGATCTATAAAGAGTATTGTTATTCATCATACGTTAATCCGATTGTAAGTATTTTCAGAAATGTATAAAAATATATTTTAACGCCCCGAGTGTATAGGTTGTAATTGTAAGCCGGGTTGTCTCACTGACAGAGTTTATATACCTACATCTGAAAGTCTCTAACCGGTCCAATCACTAACGAGTAGCGGATTTTGATACCTTACGCTCGTTTTTCGATCAGAATATTCCGTATTCGTATATTAGCGGAAAAAGGTTGCGCATAAAGATTGTCTGCGATATTACTTCGGTGGAAGCGGACGCTAAAAATAGCTACTTCACACACGCGTATAAAGTCAATTGTTAATTCAATGAAATTTTTTATCACTTGTTTCCGAAATTTTTGACGTTTTTTCACGGATTTTTTTTGTTACAGTGTGCTTTAAGCAGATTGTATAGAAATTCTGCACACAGTAAATCTAAAGGGATAACCAAAGACAAGACGTCCATAAAATGAAAGACAACTTCGAAACAATAATAAGTGAATTTCGTAAATGGGAAATAATAATCAATCGTCAAGTAGTAATATCATCCTAATTCTTAAATCGATATTATCAATACAAATTCCAAAATTTTCTCTTGCTAAAGATAATAACTTTTAACGAGAACTGTTATCTTATCTCTGAAATGTGGGGACGAGTCGCCCCCCTCACCCCTGGCCCCCCAACCCCCACAAAAGAAAAGTTGTTACTATTCAAAACAATGTTACATTACTACATATAATTGAGAACATGTCAACATTATCGGCGCATGACCTGTCTAGTAAACACATCACTTGTTCGTTCAATCAATCCACTATTATCAATAATATAAGACCAAAACTGCTCAAGCAAATGATAATAAGTATAACCATATTTAACAAAGAAGAACAAGTCTGAAACGTGTATCGAGAACATTTTGAGCAAGAATTAATTAAATTATTTAAAGTCCAACCATCATGAGCTTACGTCAGATTCGCTAATTTTTTAATGATTAATACGCAGTAAATATTCCATAGGAAAAAAAACAAGTACATGTATACTTGTGAGTGAGATTTAGTAATTGAGGTATGAAAATATATATGGTTGTTACACATATAGCACGACGTTTATACAAGTATTTTCGTATCGTGTTCTGCTTAAGAACAGATACCTGGCTAGTTGATCGACATTTTAATTCACAGTTTGATGATTTTAGTCGAAAACACTGTAAAGTATACTTCGAGAATTTTAAGAAGTATGTATACATTTTCATATAATGAAATTGAAAATGTTTATTTAATTTTTGTTTATATAAACACATTAAAACAAAATGCTTAATCAATACAATATTTTTTTCAATATGGATGTTATTCAGGACAGAGATCCATTCTTACAGTACATAGTTCTCTGTAGTCAGAATGACATAATCTGTGTTGATAATGACAAGGGAATACCTGTCTAAACGTTGTGTTATATGTTTGTTGTGTTTTAAAGTGCATGTATTTTATACACATTTAGTTTTCTTTAATCGAAAACAAAACTGCTTTGTCTTTTCTGCTCCACAAGGATGCCGCCTGTTATACGAAATTTGGTTTTTGCAACATAATATTAGGTTTGAAATCTTTGCACTGATAAAAATGTCCTATACGCAAATGCCAATTTTAATGAATTTCATGATTAATATAAATAGTCAAAATGAAAGATTCATGTAAAAAAGTTAAAGAAATTGAATGCATATATCAAAATATCATACATACAAATGTATTTTGAATCCCAAACCTAATAAAATATGAGACATAGTCGATATTCTAACATCAGATAAATTGTTCCCATTCCATACAAAAAATCAAATTTATCCATTTACTATTAAAAAAAAGGTTTGTGCATATACCGTATGACAGTGATTAATATTTGTACATATTTATCAATAGATAAATCAATAATAAATATTCTTTTTAAAAAAATGCGATCTCAGAAAGGTTTTGGCGCGAAATTATCATTTGTAGGACAGTACATATATTTGCAATATATACAACACCTTCCGGGAAAAGGGAAAATTCATGTTCTTCCCAGAAAAATCAATTCGTTGGCGTTCGAAACACAATATTCGAGGAATATCACCGCCTCACTTCCATCCATTCACTAATCAAGGTCATGTTTCTCGACCAATCGAAACGTTGTCAACAACGCGACATCATGAGGAAAATTAAGAAGGAAGACAACTCGACATTTGCATTGAGCTATTTGAAAACCGAGGGGGTATTCAATATTAGTCCCATTATACATCCATTAGCAACAGGGTCGTCCGTATTAGCTCTTAAATAATTTTAACAAAATCCCGCTGTGAAATATTCTGATTTTCGATACGATTTTTCTTTATTACCCGGAGTCCGAAAGGTTCAACGGGTTAGCTTTAGATGATACGGTATGTCATTGCGTCATGTGGCGAGGTTCGTAGCCCCCGCTTGTACGTAACAAGGAGTAGGGTCGCCTGCCCAACCTTGTGGGCTTTCTCCACACCCCAATCGCTTCTAAAGTTCCCTAAGCGCAAGCGAATTATTGAAATAAAATTAAACCATACGTAAGTCCCGAAATGACCTAGTTTGTGTCGACTGGGACGTTAAACCCCATTTCCCTATTTTCTGTATCTCTTTCACAAGAAAAACGGGGAGTCAATTCCGAAATACTATAAATATTGACCTGCAGGTTCCTTATTATGCCATAATATAGAATCCAACAAAGTCTTTCAAAACAGATCCAACCAAGAACTTTATCGCGTATAAAAGTAAAAACGTGAGCGGTAAGATAACTCTACAGCACGTGTTAGAAATATATGATACAACTTTTCCCTAATTTTCTAAAGAATAATCCCACCAGATTTTGTTAAATTCCATCTAGAAATTATATAAAATTCAACGTAGATTTCTTATAACTAAATCAACACGCCCTTCGAGTTTAAAAAAATCCGACAAATGAATGATGAGGCAGACGGACGCAGGTGACGACAGTATACTTCTACATGGGCGTATAAAAAAAAGCATCTTATCGATCTTTATTGATTTTCAACTACATGTATATTCTTACATTTCATTAAAGAATATAGCTAGCTTCGTTTTTTTCCAATATCGCCATGCATTATTCCACACGAAGTATCCGCGTTTAGTGAATGAATATGAATGAGTCTGAGACGGTGACGTATTTAAAGATGGGGAATACAAATCACAACACGTTTCTTTACTACATAACACTACATGTATTCTCTAAAATCTCAGCTTCAAATATTATTAATTTTGTCTTAAACCTAGTGAGTTGGCTTATTTTTAGTTAGATAAACTAATAGATTTATCTTACAAAAATCAATTTGTCTACAGTAAAGGAAACCCCTGCGAACAAAGTCATCAACAATTTCAGTCGAAACGCGCGTTCGTTAGACTGTTCCTGTCATTGATATCATACTGTCCGGGGTTGCGCTGTTTGTTAAGAACACCGAACATTTTTCTAAACTTTCGTCTAAATTGTAAATTACAAAGTGGATATAGAAATGGGTTTAAGGTTGAGTTAAGATAGCCAACCCACGTCATGGCCGTCAAGAGGCCTGGGTCTATACAACCCTCACAAAACGCCACAACAAGGAATAGTATAAAATAGGGCAAAAAACACAAAGTAAACGCCCCCATTATAACCCCCAATTGTCTAGCCGCTTTAATTTCTTTAGTTAATGCTGATGTCTGTCTTAAATTACGTATTCGATCTTTGATATTCAATACACCGGTTAACCGTCGATTTTTATCATCCCGCAAAACGAACAATGTTTTGTCCTTGTCACTACCCCTTTCCGATGTCACCGTAACGGTTTTATCCAACAGTTTTTCTGCTTGTCGTATTCTGCGGATTCCACTCATCAATGAGAAGTTTTCTCCCTTTGTCTTGTCGTTGTCTGGCCGAACATCTTCAAACGTACTGGCGGATGACGTTGATTGTGAAAGCGAGGTTTCTGAGCGTGTAAGCGTTTTGTGATTGGATGATGAGGCAGATGATGGTTTTTGTGTTAATGGCAGATGCTCTTCGTAATAGTATCTCTCTATTCTTTCTGTTTGAGGATCCATTACCGTTTCGTCATAAACATATTCTACTTTATATGAATGATTGGAGTTATGATTTTCACGACCGCTTCCCATCTGTTTTTGAACTGCTATAAGTCGTAAATTTTTATAGCCTTTTACATTTTTATTATTTGAATTACCCCGTTTGATAGCGTTTGTTGAATTTGGCTGTTCTTCTTGGGAACAATGGTGTTGGTAATTATCCTCTGAGAAAGTATTGTCCGGTATTTCACTGTCCTCCCCAGAATGTGACGTGTTACCGGTTTGATATGAAATTGGTTTCGAACCAATATTTCTTTGTCCTAATTCGAATTCGGATCGTTTACGAATTTCCTGAAATATCTTTATATACAATGAATACATGACAGCCAATGGAAGATAGAAGTTGAAGAAGGCTGTTATAACCTTAAAAGCCGAGTTAGTAGCATACTCGGTATCGCACACATTTTCTGGCACAATCCGCACACCTTGCCGAACGATGTGGTGCCAGGCTACGATTGGAACTATCCACAACGAAGACACACACCACACTATGGAGATCATTATTAATGCTCGACGTTTGGTCCGTTTACGAAGGTATATTAATGGAGATCTAACGGACCAGTATCTATCTAAACTAAGTATAAAAAGGTTCAGAATTGATGCTGTGCTGGCAATATAATCTACTCCAATCCACGCTTGACACACAACCACACCAAACGACCAGTCCGAGGTAAAGATGTAGATGGCACTGATTGGCATGACTAATAATCCCACAATTAAATCAGCTATAGCCAAACTCACTATAAACATGTTACTCACCTGAAATACAAGAAAAAGATGCATGGAATTAAATAATAATAAAATACAATACTTTCGTATTTAAGGCACTGCAGTTTCCCCCTCACCCCCAGTATCCCCTTCGGTTGAAATTCAGGCCCAAATCAAAACGAGTGTCGTACACGAGGCAATACATGATTACTTTTTCTAAAATACCCGATATCATATCCCAATTGACGAGTTAAAATAGCTAAATAGTGTTCTCACAGTAGGCTATCTCTTATGTTGGAATTTTAGACATGAATACTCTCTCTTAACACCTGATACCATATCCCAGTTGATGAATCGAAATAGCTGAATATTTGTACCTTTATGTATATAATATAGGTTATTTGTTTCTTATATTTTTTTGAAAATTTGCCATTACTTTCGGGAATCTCAGATTGGTAATATTCACATTAATCATATCTTGTCGGTTGTTATGTCTTGACTGATGTAATATTTTATTAACTTATAATAAAATTGCCATTTTGGTAAAATATGTTATGATTTTAATCAGATTTTGTATTAGGTATAACTTAATTCATTGTGGAACAAAATAAAATAACATCCTTTAAGAAGAAGAGAAAAATAAAATTCTGTGAACTATATTCTTGAACCTTTATCGTTATATTGTTATTAACGATTGGTTTAATTCACTGGAAAACATCAAATTTGCAAAGGAAATTTATGATTCAGTTGATCCACTTTAGTTTAGTTCAATATTATTGCTCTGTTACTACCACTTAACCGATCAAGACATTATTCCTTTGGATATCATCATTATTATTTGACCCAATAATCCAGGATAGCATAGGTATATAAGGCATATACAGTGTTCGATTGATCGACCGTATCTTTACATCTGGCGCATTCTACAGTTACTGACACTTGGTTAACCATATATGTGTAGGATAAAGCACGAGACTTCGATTATGTATGCTGCGGAAAGAAAGACTGAAGAAAATAACCCGGGGAAAAAACCGAAGTTTTTTTTTAAGTCTTTCTTCCCCAGCATAAGGGAAGTCAAGGACTTTATCTTGCTTATAAACCGTCTATGTTTACATGTACGCAAAATGAAAACATCCCAGAATTCCCGTAACAAAAACATTATATTATCATGTTTTCTTATGGAAAAAACTGCTCTGGAAAAATAACCCGTTACAAGTTTAAAGAAAAACTTTAAGAAGAATATCCCCAAATGCATCTGTATATACCCAAAGCCGCCCCGACTTTCATATCACAGGTTATTCCGGGCATAGAATATACCCCAAAGATCAAAGTGATTTACCGTTATAGGTTTATAACTACAGTTATAGAATAGTGAATAACCTTTAAGTACATTTACTTGACCCAATATCTATGTTAAAAAACATGACCCAGTCCAAACCCATGTTTCTATAGTCAATTTGTAAGAAAATTTTAATTTTCTCCATATTGTAATAAAAACAAAGGTCCGTGTATGCTCCACAGCGACTGCAACGAACTTCGATTGATCGTCGCACTGAAATCCTACATCAGTTACACCGACCGCAAGAATCGCCCAAAGGGTTATTTATTTGGCCAATCCACGGAAGCTGAAATATCATTTGATGTTATAAAAGTAGCGGCGATAACGTGGATTCAGTTACGCCATTTTGATCATTGGTGGAAATCCCTGAACCGTCGCCTACAATTATTTTGTATGCATGAACACGTCGCCGTGAATTCGCCAGCTTCGCTAGTATCATTGTCTAACAATTGAGTGTCGCTTCAAAAAAGGCTTAAAAGTTCAAGGTTTTAATTACAATCGGGAAATGAAGCGCAGAATGAACAAATTACACTTTGATAGTCATAATATAAAGTAAACTTGTAGTGTATTAGATTTTAAATTTATATAATGTGTATTACAAATTTACATCAACTATAATTATAATTAGAAATAGGAATCTTTTGTCATTAACTTTGAGTAGATAAGATATGACATTTAAATTACAAAAGACCTTTTATATCAATAGCGGTGAAATTGGTATGCTTTTATGATTATATTCAATTTCTAGAACCAAGAATATTTTTTCTTCAATTATGAAACATCTATTGAAGAACCTTGGAATATTAGTTACCCTAATGTAATCAGATCACGACCATTATCGTCCCGGAAAGAGTTTCAAAGGCAATAATTGGATTATGGCAGATATTTAGCATGATTTGCAGGTTAAAGAAGGAAAGAAACATCGATCTATAGTATTCAAGATTTGACAAAAACTATCCTATGCATCCTGTTTAATTAAGGTTTGATCTAGCCTTTAACAGAACGTAAATCGTGAAGGAATTTGAAAAGCGGTACTTATGACCAGATAGCCCATTTCGTCACTCTATATGTCTGTTTCTTTAGCCTATAAAAAATCAAGGGGCTCTTTCAAATAGGGATTTTGGGAATTAAAAAGTACCCCAGTTTTGAATCATTAATTCTTAAATAACATGTTATTAGAACTGTATTCGAATATTTTATATATTGATACGCTACCTGGTTATCACACGTATGTTTCATTTTTAAAGCTACATTAGTGTATTACATTACATAAATACAAAAGGACTTGGTATCCAGAGTCATTTAATATTTATCTGAAAATAACAATTATATCGTTCAATGAAGAGAATAATTAAATGTTGGATTCAAATGAGACCGCGACTAAAATAACCACAACTTAACGTTAGAGTAAACTACAATCTAAAACTACAGCAAAATAGGTTAGCTAGTTTAAGTTAAAGCCACAATATTTCAGACTAAAAGATACTATTTGTCTGCACCATGTCGCCATACAGTGTGTTAAGAGGAACATTTTGCCGGGCCAGTGGCTTTCGGTCGACCCCTGAGCGAGTTGGAGACAGCCTGGGTAAACATAATCAGAGAGAGAGAGAGAGAGAGAGAGAGAGGGGGAATGGGTTTAACGTCCACTCGACACAAACTAGGTCATTTCGGGACTAACACATTGTTCAATTTTATTGCAATAATTCGCATGCGCGTAGGGGTCAATAGCAGTGGGAGGAAACCGGAGGATCTGTAGAAAATCCACGAGGTTGAGCAGGCGACCCTACTCCTTGTCACGTACAACCGGAGATTCGAAACCACGCCAGTTGACTCATTGACAGACCTTATGATACAGCGCGTACGTGCTAACAATTCGGCCATCCAACCCCCAAACATAATCAGCTCGCATACATTAAAAACTAGTCTTATCGAGTATACTGGTCCAAAAATAAATAATGAACACCAATCAATCCTAACGGGGGGGGGGGGGGGGGGGCGAAAGTAATGGACTCGCCTGTCCAAACTCGTAGGTTTTGTTCGGGTCCTTCGCACCCCCCCCCCCCCACACACACACTTTTAAAGACCCCTATGCGCAAGCGAATTATTGAAATAAAGTTGAACCATGTGTTAGTCCCGAAATGACCTAGTTTGTGTCGAGTGGACGTTAAACCTAATTTTTCTCTTTCTCTCACTCTCGCCTCTAAGATCCGGACTGAAAGACCTTTGGTTGCGACAAATTAATTATACAAGTAGACTCATGTAAACGCTAATCCAAACGACTTCAGTTATTTTGAGACTAGTAAGCCAATTTATTGCGAAAAGCGAATAGGGTCACGTCGGTTTTAAACAATATGTTATGTCCCTAATCGCAAGACGCGAGCGATAATAGCACGGCTAACTCCATCTTCAATAGAAGGCTTGATCTCGCTTTAACTACGCACATCTTATCAAGGCCAGATGTTGTGTAACTCGCAGTCTAGCGATCCAGAAGTTTAAATCAAAAATTACAATTTGGCTTTTAAATAGATTGTCGTGCTCTCTGAGTTATTCAGGGACATACATTTGTAATGTGGCTCTCATTAGGTCTCGAGTCTGAGGACCATTAAAGGTATTTATAAGGTAATAAAGAGAAATTTCTTATCACGTCTAGTTTCTTGATAGGTTAATACAGTATTATTCTGATACACTTATTTTGGGACCTAACATCTTGAAACTCAATCAAGGAATAACACTATGGCTCTTTTTAGAAATGATATTGAAACTCCACTCCAGGATTGGTAATAAAGCACATATACCAGAAATTTAGAAATTATTATACTGCCTGATGACTCCCCAATGTATCTTCTTTTATCCGTGCCATATTAACTGGACCCCAAGTTTCATGTTGAAATCTTTGGGGTGAGAAAATGACTGCCTTTTCGATATACCGCGTCGCTTTCCCTGTCAATCACGAGAATGTATTTTAATATAAAACAATATAATACCCATTTATTCAGAATTCCTAAAATGATATCTATAACTAAAAATTCGAACTTTAAATATTTATGAGCGCCGTGTGTTAATGTGTATACTTGACCGATGGAGGAGAAGCCACCCGAACAGCTAAAGGTAGCGGTGTAAAGTTAACCGAATCAAAATCCCAGACAACTTTGTTCGATATATTAAGCATTAACACGTGCATTCAAATGCTATTTCAGACCCCACGTTAATTCAAAGTCATCGGTGGAACAAATGCCAGTATATTCTTCATTTACTTAACCTCGTGGATGCCCCCAGACGCAACTCAGTGGAAAATGCAAACAGTTGAAAAGATCAAAATTTACCAATTATCTGGGTTCAACATTAAATATGTCAGTAGACTAGTAAAACATGAACAAATAAGCAGTTATATTACAGCAAAACGAGATACATTTTTCGCACCTATTTCCCAGTAGCGGGGAATCCTGGTACATGTAGAACATTCTAAATTTAAAATCTTAGAATGCATATTAGCATGACAACTGTGAAAGGGACAGTTTTGAGAGATTTTACCACTTTTCGCCATACTTCCCTTCCTGTGTCATGTGCATAATCCCAAAGGTTGGATTTTTTAATATAATATATTAATCGTGCCATTGAGAAAATGATTACATTTGCTCCTTCTTGGAGTCGATCAAAATTATTTTATATACACCACCGTTGGTAACTCACAGACAACACCCCTACA